CGTATACTGGTCTTTCCGAATTCCTGAAAAAGATTTCCCCAAGCTTATGATTATTCTCCATATGCTATCTAGGCTGAGTGTTAGTATGCCCTCTACATTCAGAATTAAGTCACTAATCCGTGTATGACTGATAAATCTCCAAGGGTATTTTTTCGATTTATGATGTAACCAAGCTTAAAATTTCTTCCACCATAATTTCAGACTAAATGTGCAATTCAGAGCATAAATCATTATAAGCCAGATTCTCTTCTATATAGTTTAGATAAATCAGCTTTTATACATTATGATATAATGCAGTCAATTTTGCATGCAAACAACAATACAATCGATCTTTTTACTTTTACTTGGTAGCATGCATTAATTGAGTCCCATAGTTTGGATGAAAGCCTTAAATATGTCATTTTTTGGGTCAACATCTTACTCCTTTGCTCTTGCTATTTTCATTTTTTTATTTAGGGAACCCACAATTCGTCCCTTTTAGACTAGCCATGGACCCTCCCTCAGGACAGAGTTTTTACCCATGTTTTTTAATCTGATCGACGTGCCTTTCACGTATACATACACCCTTACAAATATGTATCCGGGCCTAAATACAATCTTACTTATTTTTCTCTTTACTAGAATATGTCTCTTTAAATCTGAAACATTGTTCCTTATTTTGAAGCTTTTCAGAAATTCATACTTTATACATTTACATTTGCATTTATTATTCTATCTTGTGATTTGCTTTCACGCCTTTTACATTACTTTGTTTCTACAACTCTGGCCATCGATTTTTAACTTTTTGTGACAGGATATGGCGCTTAGATATTCAGAACCTATCCTCTCTTTTTTCAGTCGATCATCTACTATGTCACTCGTTTGCCAGATCTAGAAGCAAAGCTGGCTAACCTCGCTGACATCCTGAAATCTAAACCTTTTTCTCGAGCCAACTATGTCGACTTGGACCCTATTTTTTTAAAATTGTTTGATGAGGACTTTGATGAAGAAGTAAACGGCATCAGTCGGTCCCGCTTTTTGCGTGTTCATCTACCTTGGATCCATTATTGCCTTAGACAACGCCAGCGGCTCATTGATCGTCGCCGCCTGCGCCAGGCTGATAAAACTAGTTCTGCTGGCAGAGTAATAACCATCAATATCGACTCTAAGGACTCAGTTGTCAGAGATGCCCAGAGTTGGACAGGTAGACCTTCCAAAATAGAAGACACAATGTTAAAAGGAGGAGAGATTCCACCCAGCGATATGAAAATTCCGAGAACCCAAATGCGACAGAGTCAAAGGATGGCCATTCACGATAAAAATCCTGGGGCTGCTTTGCACAGTGACATGGGTGAAACTGTACAAGGCAAGGAAGAGGTGGAAGAATTGCCTTCGAAGTATTCGTTGGAGCCTGGGTCTGATAAGGTGAGAATGCATTATGAGAATGATGAATATTAGTTTGTCCCTGAGTTAAGGTATAATTACTGCTGTATGCATACTGTCGCTTCTAGCTCTTATGTTTTGACATCTTTATTGAGAGTAATTGAAGGCATCCTTTTAATCTTTTCATTTATTCTAGCATAAGAACTTGTGCTCTATAGCTAGCTTTAAAATATAGATCCTGCATTACATTTCGCTTATTATGTGACGAATAGCCATGCTTTACATTCCAGACGACATTTAGGGCTTACATTTGTTTGCATATTTAAGTATTAGTCATTCTAGCATAATTAGAAAGTTCGCTTTAGATAGACTATTAGATGCTCTTATTTCGCGTTCGCTATGCTTTGTGGAACCAGATCATGAATATAATTGGGATTTAAATGTTTATTTATAATCTATACTACTTGTTGCGCCAATATATTTTTATTGATTAGGCTTCGAAACTATCAATAAATCCTGAATGAGAGTTGTACTTACTCTAGCTCACATACTGTGATAGTGCAAGTATCCAACAATGATATAAGTAGGCTAAATATTTCCATTGAATTTCACATGGCCTTGGCTCCCAAAAGGTATTCTCAATTAATCTGGACTAGAGTTTTAACTTCGCCTAGGTCTTATTAGCACCCCCAGAGGAATTTGAACTCGGGTAGTGCAACGCATAGTCCCGATATGCTAACACTACGCCACACTACCA